CCTGAGGGGTGAGGTAGTGGCGGAGTCAGGCAATGTTACAGAGGTGAGGGAAGGCAGAGTGGGTCATGGCTTGAATGTGGTGGAGAAAAGACAGTTGAGGGTTGAACAAGACACCTAGGTTCCTGACTGGCTTGGTGAGTTGTAGTGAGCAACCATGGAGGTTGATGTTGCCAGAGCCTGAGGTGCTGAGGCGCTGGCGCGAGGCAATCAGGAGGGCCTCAGTCTTGTTCACATTCAACTGTAGGAAATTTGCCCTCATCCAGGACTTGATGTCCGACAGACAGTCTGTCAGGACAGCAGTGGTCCTGGAGTTGAGGGTGGAGTCAGAAAGATAGAGTTGGGTGTCATCCGCATACATGTGGAAGTTGATCCCATGTCTGCGGATGATGTCACCAAGGGGGAGCATGTAGGTATTAAAGAGGAGAGGGCCAAGGACTGAGCCGTGGGGGACACCAGACCTGACAGTGTGGGGGCTGGAGGAGAAATCGTTAGAGGCAACAAGTGGAGATGGTGAGAGAGATAGGAATCGAACCAGGTAAGGGCAGGTCCATGAAGATTGAGTAAAGCGGAGAGGCGGTGTATGAGGATGGAGTGGTCGATAGTGTCGAAGGCAGCAGAGAGGTCAAGGAGGCAGAGGGAGCCCTGATCACAGATGTTCATAATGTTATTCGTGACTTTGACCAGGGCTGTTTCCGTGCTGTGGGTAGCGCGAAAGCCGGATTGGAGGGGTTCAAAGAGGGAATGGCGAGAGAGAAAGGAGCGGAGCTGGGACGCGACGACTCGTTCCAGGACCTTGGAGAGGAATGGGAAGTTAGAGATGGGGCAGTAGCTGGAGAGGAGGGATGGTCTATAGTAACAAGATTAGTATAGACCATTCCAAATGGCTGGTCTGAAAAAGAAAACCCTGCACTATATTTCTCATACTCATAAATGTTTCTTCACCCAATAGTTATCCAGTTCCCTCTTAACATCTATTGAATTCAAGTCTGTTGAATTACAATGATGTAATTCTTGGCAGTTCTAAACAGTTTCTCCCATATACAAGGGGAAGTAATTTTGCCAAAATGCTTGTGTGGTCCAAACAAAAGATTTTTTTCCAGCTCATTTGAAGCTGGCGATAATGTTGAAAGGTCACATTTCCCAACTCTCCTTTATAAACTTGTAAATCAGGAATGTGAGCCATAGGGAAATCAAAAATAAACTGCTACGTGAGTTGGATACACTCCTGAAGATTTCTGAAAATAAGCATTTATTGTCATGAAAAGTACTGCTGTGCCTATTTCCATTCATGACAGTAATATTGTAACCTGTATTTAATAATCCTTGCATTTGATATAGCGCTTTTCATGTCTTCTAGACGTCTCAAAGCGCTTCACAGAATATACTGGAAAGTGAATTGACTGTATATTTGTGGGTGAAACACGGCAGCCGATTGCACACAGAGGTGTCCCACAAACAGTCATAGATTGAAGTGACCAATTTATTGTTTTTTTTCTTGAGGGTTTATTATTAGGCGTGTGCAGAGGAATAAAGTACCAAAGTAGGGAAGTAATGTTAAATTTATATAACATCTCGGTTAGACTACATTTGGAGCACTGTGCGAATCACTTACTTATTTGAGCTCAGTCCAGGACCCCTGGAGAGAATTTTGTGTAGTTTCTCCCATGTCCAAGAAAAGGGAAGCAGTATTGCTAAGATGGTTATGTGGTCCAAGCAAATATTTTTCCACCTCAATTGAACCTGGTGATAATGTTGAAAAGTTATATTTCCCAACTCTCATTTAGAATGCTTGATATGTAAAAGCAGACAGTCAAGTCAAAATGGCTTCAAAACTTTTTCTTTTTAAATACTGTAGTATTAGGAAAAATCTGGGAATGCACAAGCAGACTGGTACCTGGTTTAACATCTCACTCGAAGAACAGCATCTCCAACAATGGAGCATGGTTACAAATTTCACAGACCCTTTGAGTTTGACTATTTAGACAAGAACTTGTTGAAGGTCTCTTAAATAAACTGTTAATTATAGGTCAACACATATATTTAAAGTAACACTTTCCCAATGGAAAGCATGTGGTAGCTAATAATATTTGACTTTTCTGAAACAATTGAAACTCATACACACTATCAGATGTCAACATGCTTATTAACAGAAGATCTAGGTAATAATTTGAAGTGAACCAATAGAGAGAACACAAAAAGCAAACAACTATCCTACAAGAAATCTAGTCAACACTCCTAGCTCCACCTTCCACAAGCTCCCAACACAACCAAAATTTGCAGCCAACATTCTCTCCCACATCAGGTTCTGTACAGCCATCACTTCCATCCTCATCTGGCTCCCCTGGTTCCCAATGGATTGACTTTAAAATCCTTGTCTTGAACTTCAAATCTCATCCATTCCTATTGTCCTGCAAGTACTTGCTGATTCTAGTCTATCACTCGTTTCTTAGTCTCTCCATCCCACCATTGGTGTCCAAGCCTTCACCACTACTCCTCTGATCTCTGAAACTCTTCCAAAGTTTCACCTTTCTCACTCTCTTTGCCTTCAACTCTTTCCTAAAACATAATTTTACCACGCTTTTGACTTGATCAACCTCTTTGATTCTCTCTTGTGAAGTTCATCAAGATCATCATTGTGCATATTATTAATAATCCTTACATTTGATATTTCTGCCCTACTCTCTGGAACTCCCTCCCTCACCTCGTCATGGTCCGTTTCAACACCTACCTTTTCGACCGTACTTTTGGTCATATTTCACCACCCCACCACCAGCTTAGATGCCAAGCCTGTAGTGTTAAGTACTATGGGACATGCTCCCAACGTGAAAGGCACAATATAAATATAATTTGTATTAAATTGCATAGCAGCTTCATGTCAGGATGAAAGAGCTTTAGATATACTGTAAAGTGCAGTTACTGCGTATTTTTTGCATTTTGCAGACAAAATATACAGTCAATTCACTTTACAATATATTCTGAAGTGCTTTGAGACGTTTCGAAGAGATGATAGGGCGCTATATGAAATGCAAATATTATTATTATTTATGAGCGAACACAGCAGCGAACTTTCACATAGCAATGTAATAAATTAAAGTCAAGTTTGTAGTTTGGATTTCACTTTTTTTATTATATCATTGCTCATTCTGAATACTTTAGGTTTAAACAAAATAATTTGACTGTCCCCTTAGCTGAACACAGTTCATTGATGCAATTAACAAATGAGATTGTCGGGAAGTCTTTTATAACAGCTTGACAGTGTTAGGCAGGAAACTGTAAAGTGGATTATATTCTGCGCATTCTCATTATTTGAGTTTTTTTCTTCCTACATGTCCATGGAATTAGTGGCAAATTAACTACATACAGAAATCAGAATTTAATAGTAGCATACACAGGCTCAGATCCTAGATCATGAAAAAGGGGGGTGCATTTGGCTTAAGATCTGAATGTAGTTTTTTGCCCGAATCCTAGAGGGTTTGAATTCCAGTCGCAATGGCCTGAAGTGGATTTAGCAGAAGAAAGCGATAGCTGTAAATTAATTGAAAATGTAAATTGTTGAAAAATTGGACGCGTAGCATTTTCCCGGGGGGAGAGTGGTGAGAGGAAGACTGTCTTTGATGTAGTCTAATAGTGAATCTGCCACAACCACATGTTTTTCAGGTCTGGTTGGATCAAAACTGTTGCTTGTCTCAATCAACAAAAAAATCCTCAAATAATGAGTACTCCTCGTTCCACCCAACCCAACAACCTGGCTCGAGGAAAGATTTCATTTTAAGGCTCTGCAGATATTCAAGGATTCAATTTGGCCTTTTATTTTCTCACAATCAAAAAATTAAGCACTGGGTTGGCCGGGGGGGGGGGTGGGTAAGAGAAATGGCAAAGTTGTGCAAGGAGGGATGCTTTTTTGAGTTTGGGATGGACACACATCAGAGGTAGAACATCAGGAGAGGAGTTTCCTTCTCCATCTTGTGCCGTAAGTGATCCGAGACTGCTCGAAGCGGACACCAGAAGCCCAAAAGTGTTTCAATAAATTCAAATAAATAAATTCAGCCTTAATAAATTTCATAAAATATCAATACTACCTCTGAGCATTGTAAGAAAAGTTATACTGTGAGACATGAATCAATTTCAAAATTGCTCCCAGGAATAAAATGATGATCGTACAGGCAAATTTCCCCAGCAAAAATTCCATTTGTTGAATGATAAGGAGTTCTGTACATATTAAGCTAGATAATACATATTTGTACATATTACATTATATAATTGGCATATTAATGCTAGATAATAATAATCCTTGCGTTGATATAGCACTTTTCACGTCTTCTAGATGTCTCAAAGCTCGTCACAGAATATACTGTAAATTTTGTCTGCAAATTGCAAAAAACACAGTAACTGCACTTTACAGTATATCTAAAGCTCTTTCATCCTCCTGACATGAATGCTGCTATGCAATGTAATGAATTATATTTATATAATCCTTGCATTTGATATAGCGCTTTTTCACGTCTTTGACGTCTCAAAGCGCTTCACTGTAAAGTGAATTGACTGTATATTTGTGGGCAAATATAAATACAAAAATATTTATATATTTATAAATATAGTGGAGTCCTGTAGCTCAGTGGTTAGAGCACTCACTTTGCAAGTGAGTTCAATTCCCGGCAGGGCGAAACCTTGGGCAAGTTTCCTTACTCCACACGCCTGATAATAATCCCTCCAAACCAAAAATAATAATAAATTGGTCATTTTCAATCCATGACTGTTTGTGGGACATTGCTGTGCGCAATTGGCTGCCAAGTTCGCCTACAAATATACAGTCAATTCACTTTACAGTATATTCTGTGAAGCGCTTTGGGACGTCCTCCCGACGTGAAAAGCACTATATCAAATGCAAGGATTATTAGATCGGAGCCTACTGAGCACCGGGCTTCAACAGAATAAAATGGTCATCTTAAACATATTCCTGGAAGAATCCAATGCATTTCCAGTTTATAATTATAACATTGTTAGTTATAAAATTGAGTTTATTTGAAACAGATTTTGAACTTGCTTTCCCCCCCATTAAAGAAACATTCATTTATATTGTCAGCAAAATGCACAACAGGACAGAGTGGGCAATACAAAAACATTGAACTAGGAGAGGATTCCCAATAATAAACGCACAATATTTAAACATTTATTTTGACATCTGTCTCACTTAAATTTGTCTCAACTTTGGAGACAAACTTGCATTACAATGCTCGAGGCTGAAGAATTTTTACACTTTGAAGTCTTGTATAAAACAGGAAATGTAAACAAACAACAGGCCACACTGCACTTCACTTGTAGTTTCCTTTCCCAGAGATGAAGCGGTCAATCATGTCAAATGCCCTTTCAGGTTGATCGTAAGGTAAAATATGTCCTCCACCTCGAACAATTACCTAGAACAGAAGAGATAATAAGAATGAGATAAAATCCATATTCTTAAAATAAGAACATATTTAACAATGTTGGAAATCATCTTTCTGTTCTTTCATTTATTAATACTATACGTTTTTTATACAAACACATCATTGTAGTGGATGTTAAATATTACCTATTGCTTGTCAGAATCAACAGTAAAATAAGTTGTTAGACAACAAGTGATCTGTAAGGCAAAACTATGTAATCTTTATATGTAATTCACACATGTTAATTTACTACTAACATTTTATAAATATAAAATATATACATACCGTGATAATAGATCACTAATACAGTTCACATCCATAAAAAATGTATTTTTTGATAGGTAGTAATTTTCCCACAAATGAATATTAAAAAATCCTGAATTTGAAAAAGTTGGTTGTCTCTTTTGTCTCTCCCTATTTTATAAAAACTAGATCACTCCCCTGAAGTTTCAACAACAACATGCATTTATATAGCATCCCTCATATAGCATCCTAGGGCATCCTAGAGTGTTAAAAGTGGTAAGTTAATTAAAATTTCTACTGCTCCAGCCTTCTCTGAGTATTTCTTTCAAAAGCAAGTACAATGTTAACAGAGCTCATGTCCGATATGTTCAAATTGTAAGCATTCTCCCACTCAAATGAAATCTATTGAGACATGCTCATTTATTTAACATTTGCAGGGATTCCAAAGTTCCCTCTCAGCCACTCATTACAGTAATTTATGGCAGGTAACAGCCTGCCTGCAGGATGTGGCACCAGTGCTGTCTGGAGGTGAACGTACTTTCAGACGCTACCTATCCCTTTCCAGGCAAAGTCATCTCAAAGGAAGATTCACTCAGAAGGAAAGTACTAATCCACCAAAGCCATTTGCTTTATGTCACAGTAATTACAGAACTGTATTGTGGCAATTGTATACAACAACATTACATTTGTACAGCGCCTTTCAGGTTGGGAGGGGTCAGGGGGGAGAAGGGAGGTGACTGATGGCATCGTCGAACAACAACAAGATTCCATTTATAAAGCGCCTTTCACGTCAGGAGGACGTCCCAAGGCGCTGCACAGTTGGGTCATGACCCGAGCAGGGGGAAATGGTCAGGGGAGGGGAGGGAGCGAGGAGGGGGGAAATGGTCAGGGTGAGGGGAGGGATGGGAGGGAGCGAGAAGGGGGACGAGAGTCGAGAGGGGAGCTGAAGGCTCGGTCAAAGAGAAGAGGAGGGTCTTGAGGCGGGACTTGAAGGAGGCTAAGGAGGGGGCGAGGCGGAGTGACTGGGGGAATGGAATTCCAGTAGTTGGGGGCAGAGTAGCTGAACGCCCTCCCGCCAATGGTGGGGCGGGTGGGTTGGGGATGTGGAGAAGGCCAGAGTCGGCTGAGCGGGTTGATAGGGGGTTAGGAGGTCGCAGAGGTAGGGTGGGGCGAGGCCATGGAGGGCTTTGTAGTTGAGGACCAGGATCTTGAACTGGATCCTCTGAAGGATAGGGAGCCAATGGAGTTGGGCGAGAGGGGGTCAAGGAGTTTGGTGCAGGAGAGGACACAAGCTGCAGAGTTCTGGATTATCTGCAGCCTGTGGAAGGAGGAGTTGGGAAGGCCGACAAGCAGGGAGTTTGCATAGTGGAGCCTGGAGGTGATGAAGGCATGAACAAGAGTTTCAGCGACCTGAGGGGTGAGGTACTGGCAGAGTCGGGCAATGCTACAGAGGTGAGGGAAGGCAGAGCAGGTCATGGCTTGTATAGATAGTAAATCTAAAAATGATAGCTTAAAGTAAAAGTAACAGCCTTGCAAAGTACCTCCCAACCCTCCTCAGCTCCCAACCCCAGCTCAGATGCCCAACAAGCACTGCGAACACGCTTCGTGGCATCCTCCTGACTGAAAGGTGCTATATAAATGTAAATTTTACTGTATTGTGCAATAATTCTTCAAATTGGCTTCTTATGCACCACTAGTTCCATCTCCACATGCAGCAATGGGTTCTCAAAACTGAATGGTGGGGGCAGTCTTTCAATATGGTCTATAGGCAAAAATTAGATAAGTGCTTCTGGATCACTGCACAAATAACTAATAATAATACTTGCATTTGGTATAGCGCCTTATCACTTCGTCAAGACGTCTTAAAAGTGCTTCACAGGATATACTGTAAAGTGGATTCACTGAATTTTGCGGGAAAAATGCTGCAGCCAGTTTGTGCACAGCAAAGTTCCACGAAGAGTCATGGAGTGGGTGACAATTTTTTTTATATTAATGGTGGTGGGGGGTGGGCTTTGGCCAGAACATTAGGACAAACTCCTTCTCTTTTTTAATCATTTCATTGAATCTTTAATGTCCACCTGAACAGACCTTGGTTTATCGTTGGATCCAAAGGATTTTGCTTTAACAGACAGATAATTATGGCTGAAAGCAGCAAAAGTTGATTATAAAGTTTCACTTAAAGGAACATATACTCTAATCTCACCAAAACACAAAATACTGCAGATGCTGGAATCTGAAACAAAAACAGAGAGAGGTGGGAAAACTCAGCGGGTCATGCAGCATCTATGGAGAAAGGAAAGTGAGTCAATGTTTCGTGTCCACGACCCTTCGTCAGAACTGGGGTACGTTGGGAGGGAGAGATTTTTAAGGACAAGTTGAGAGGGGGAGGCAGGACAAGGACGACAAAGAAGACAAAAAAAGAGAAGACAAAGGAGAGAATGTAATAGTTGATGGGTTAAAGAGGTGATAGTGGCGTAAAAAAGGGTATTTTTTTTAAACAAAGGGTGGGGTGTTGAAACAAAACTGGGGAGAAGAGGTGTTAATGGTGCAGAACAGGCAACACACCAGAGTGTCTGGGGTGATGATTGTAGTGATAACAGAAGATAGCTCTTCTGGTAACAGAAGGGGTGGGAGGGAAAGGTGAGCTGTTACAGTCTGAAGTAGCTGAAATCGATATTGAGGCCAGAGGGCTGTAGGGTCCGTAGCAGATAGATAAGATGTTGTTCCTCAAGCTTTCGCTGTGGATCACTGGAACACTGTAGGAGACCATAGATGGAGAGGTGAGACTGTGAATGGGAGTGTGAGTTGAAATGGCAGGAGACCAGAAGATCAGGGTTGACCTTGCGTACCGAACGGAGGTGTTCTGCAAATCGGTCACCCAATCTGCACTTAGTCTCCCCAATATAGAGGAGACCACACCGTGAGCAGCGGATACAGTAGACTATATTGTTCTTACATGGAACCTGTGTTTGGGGCCTTGGATATACTCCAATCTGTCTGTTGGCCCCTTCTATAGTGGAATGTACAGTAGTATGTTTACAATAACATTTATGAACCATAAATCAGCACTGGTATTAGAGCAGTCTAATACGAAGGAATTTACTAAATAAATGAATGGTGGTTGATGCCACCAGTTGAATGACGTCAATTGATAAGGTTGATTTTTTAAAAAACGTCTGTGAAATTTCCTTAAGATTTTAAAACTGGTTACATTATTTGAGTCTCCAAATTCTATCATTTAATGCCACTAACTTTGATAGAATTTCGGGCCTGTACCTGGTCAGGTTTTTGTTTGGGAAAACCAATTTAAACCCATCTCAGGTTTCCTGATCTCTAATGAAATTAGTACTTAACTTGATCTTTTAGCAAGCAATTTGCTTTGAACATCACTAAAATTAAAGGCAAGATCATAAGTTCAGTGGAGTAGTAGAAATTCAATATTCTTCCCTCCACTCTATGTCAAATGGGCTTTAATTGAATTTTTGGAATCAGAAAATGAATTCAATGCGTTCCTGATCTAGAATATGTGAATGCTCAGTTTGCCTTTTTTTGAAAAAGTATAATTTGGGCAAGAAATGTGTATTGTCAAGGATCACTACATCGAACAACAAAAAGAAACCCACCTCACTACGGTGGGAATTCTAATATCTCGGCGAGTCAAATGGGCACAAGAGGTTGGCAACATAAAATGTCATACCATAAACATAGGCATATAAGAGTGACCCCGCAAATAAAGAAGACACTGAGAAGCAGTCCCAGCACACTGCTGCACCTTCTCTCAGCCACTTCTGAACTTTGACAAAAAGCAAAAATAAAGTGAAGAAGGGTACGTTTTTAAATCACATTTAAACTAGGAGCTTGAAGCCCCTTCCATGTTAATTCTGTGGATCCATTGAAGTTTCAATCCCATACTAATCAAGAAAGCACTAATCTCACCAAAATGGCTTGTGACTGAAAGCAATGGACTGGAGGAATTGGATGCATAAAAAATGAGCCAAAAGAAAAGTAATCAACAAAACAATCAAAGCTCTTCCAAGATTTAAAATAAAGGTCCTCCTTTGGAGCAAATAGATCCATAATATAACTTGACATTTGAATTGGCTGTAAGAAAAATAAATCAGTCTTGGAATCCAAAATTCAGCATTCATAACTTATAATAATAATACTTGCAGTTGATATAGCGCTTTTCACGTCGGGAGGACATCCCAAAGCGCTTCACAGAACACACTGTAAAGTGAATTGACTGTATATTTGTGGGCGATAGCGGCAGCCAATTGCGCACAGCAATGTCCCACAAACAGTCGTAGATTGAAAATGACCAATTTATTATTGGTTTTGGAGGGATTATTATTAGGAGTGTGGAGTAAGGAAACTTGCCCAAGGTTTCACCCTGCCTGTACACCTTCTTATACATCTTCTCATGGCTAGCGATAAAGTCACGTTAGCAGAAATTGGTTACAAGTTCAACTCCACCACAATTGAACGTTAGAACAACAAGGCATTTGTCAAAACATTTTTAAAGAGCTTTAATTCTGAATAAATTATAATTCACTATTACAGCACTTTAGCCCAAGCCACTAATATTTTGATGGATTATTTTCAGAAATGAAAAGTGCCAGCTATCCTTGCAAGTCAGTGCCATTCAAAATATAGATTTTAGTATGATCTAGGTTGACAAAGAATAGCAAGGTTAAAATAGAAAACAGGCTAAACAGGCTCACAGGGATGTTAAAGAAATGTGAACAAAA